TTACAGCATATTATAGCACCTCTGACCATCTGTGTGACCGTGTATTCTAACCTAATTTTCTGATATTACTGTCACTTAAAATAAGTCAGTACTGAAGTGAGTGAAATTTCTACTCCTGAAAATAGCTGTGGGTTCTTGGGTAATAAGATAAAGCAGGGGGGAAAAAAGGTATTCTACAGTTTTCTTACGGCAGCATGAAGTTCCCTTTCACAACATATTTAGAATTATTTAACTGTGTACTCTTGTATGCATATTAGTTCAGGCCATCAAAATAGAAAATGCCTGAAAAGTATGGCCTGAAAATGCTAGGAAAAAAAATCAAACCTCCTTGGTTCAATACCAGGAAATTAATATGAAATTATAAGTGAATACCTGTATTAAATGCTGAAAAAGTATTTCCCAAAGTGGAAGTCACACTTAGGTAAAATGTTCTTATGATTGAAAGAATATCTGTCAGCACAGAAGTGGAAAAGGATATGCACAAATAGAGTACTGCATGGCAATGTAATATTAATAATATTAATTAATATTACACCTTAAATGCAGGTGGAAAGCTTAGTTTGAGCAATATCTCTGTAACTGTAGTCTGTAGTTGAGTTCCTAGACTAGAATGTGGGAGAGATCATTACAAAAGCTAGAGGTACATGGCTGCAACTTCCCTGGGCTTGTATCAGGTGTTGACTTAGGCCCTAGAAAAATGATGCTGTATAAACATTTCTGGACAGAACTGTAAAATGACAGCTTAATACTAATTTGCATTCATTTTCCTATACCCTCCTACCACCTCCTTCAGTATACTGGAATATATTAAAGGATTGTAGAAATAAAGCAAACTAACTTGTTTAATCTAGTGTCTCTTTTATTTAGTTTTATTGTCCATATGCTCCTTACTTTGTGATCCTAATCCAGATGATCCTTTAGTACCAGATATTGCACAGATCTACAAGTCAGACAAGGAAAAGTGAGTATAACATACATAATTGTGTGTGTGGTACTTGCAGATGGCTGTCTGCTGTGCACCTTCAATATTAACTTTAGCAATACTCTTTTCCTAGGTTTCCACAGGATTAGCTCTTTAAATATTGAGAATAGCCATGGCAAGTAGAAAACTGTAGGCATACACAGCTGTTGGTAGCTAATATTTTTGTACTTAATTACATAAAACCCTCATGCTTTTGTGTAACAGATGGATTGCATGAAAAATTATTTTCCCAAATATGAGTTATTTGTTGCTACTGCAATCCTCTGGTTGTAAAACCTGTACAGAAGAATTTCTGACCTTCTGTTTAACTGACTGAGTTATTTGGTACCTATTTTTCAGTGCTGAGCCATTCAAGACTTCTTGCAGTGTATGCAGTGGCCTGTGGCTCAGCACATGTCACAGATTGAGGAAGATTTGAGTATTGCTTTTACCTTGAGCAGTAGACAGCAAAGGAGTGATGTAGAAATTACATGGACACCTGTGGTCTAGTATTTCTCTGCCCAGACTAAGAATTATTCAAATGGCCTTTTTCTCACAGTTCAGTGTCTGGTATAGTCCAGCCATGTAACTTCTGAAGTGCCTGAATGCTGCAGCTCATTCTGCAAAGTAGATAGTGTTCAGGTTGAGGATGCTGTGCAGCAGCTTCTCCTCATTTGTGGCTCAGCTTTTTTCCACTCACCTACTTACTAGTGATTTCAGCTGTTGTGCCTCCTGCTTGTGAAGGAAGTGAATGAGGGATGTTATGTTTTTTTATCTCCAATCTCAAAATTTAATCACTGCTAGGAAAAGTGAAAAAAAATGTAGTCTTGACTGTAGCTTTGTCTTCTTATGATGGTCACCTATTAAATTTTTTGTTGTTGTTTTACCTTGGATTTAGGAAATGAAAGATATGGCTGGTTACCCCTGAGCATTTATCTATGAGTATTTTACTATAAGTTAAAATCCAAAGACTTGTATGGTAGCATATTTTCAAGAAGAAAACCAATTAGTAAATGAGTTGCTATACTGATCTTAAAAGTTAAAAACTTGTCAGAATTTTTCTTTGGTTAACTCAAGAAAGTGAATCCAGTCTGAAGAGTAGAATGTAGCCAATGGAAGGATCAGGGTGGAAGCTATCAATTCTATAAGGACATTTACCCTTGGGATTATGGAATTATAAAGTTAATCAGCTTCATACCAGAAGGAAAAGACCCAAGACTTAAGACCTAGTAAAAAACGCTTTTCAGAAAATTTTCTTTTCAAGTTCTGAAATGCAGCTGGCAGTGCAGAACGGAGAATAAAATCCCACTTAATTATACTGCATTTGTGGGACTAAAATGTGTAAACTTTGTCAGACTCTTAATAGCATGTGCCTTTAGGAGTAATTGACAACAAACTGCTGTTAAGGTGCAAATAAGGGAAGCAGTTACGAAATACAAATGAAGGATGCACAGTTTAATGCAAACCTGTGAAGTTGGGTTTGAGTCTGAGTAGCTCTGATACATAACCTCAGAAACTGAATGTGTGGTGGGTGTATAGTTTCTGGCTTTTAGAGTGCTTTAATGTTCTTTGACTCTGCTCAGAGGTGCACAGCCTGTATGTAGTAAATGCGTGGCCATTGTCAATGTCTCACTAACAGCTCCTCACTGTAATGCCTTCTTTCTGCACGTACAGATACAACAGACATGCGAGAGAATGGACTCAGAAATATGCAATGTAAACTTTTGAAGACATTTTCATATACCACAGAGTACTGTAAATTCTAGGGTTTTTTTCAAAATTAGAAGGAAATGGAGCACAGTTTATGGTTTCAATGTGACACCCCTTGAATTTCTTTTCACCCATGTAAGTGTGTTTCTGGAGCAAGAGAGAACAAACTTCCGAAAATAACCTTATGACTTTGATAAGAATATTTATCCTCTTTGTATGCTTTGCAAAAGACATTTATTATAGTTTTTAAGAGTTGGACACCTGCATCTTCAGACTACAAGATCTATAATTCAGTTGTAAATCAATGAAATTATTTTTGCTGGAAAAAGTAGCTGTTTTCATGTGATGAATACTGTATGTGTGTCATTGAAGTATGTTGTCTGTTTCATAAGTGTGTTCAAGTTTCTTTTTGTTAGTTCTCTTATATAATTTGTATTTTTTAATTGTATAGACTATTTTATTTACAATGTAAGTCATTTCAGTTTAGACTTGCTTGTGCACAGTGTTGACAAGATACAAACTGCTAATAGTGAAAATAATTGGAGTATCTCACCCATTAGAATATTCTGAAGACTGACTGCAGGCTTCTTAAAACCTAAAGTGATCTTTGCACTGTAAATCTTTGTATGCTGATTATGGAGAAACACTTGGTTTTGATTCTGTTGCATACTTGACTTAATTTTATTGCAATGTGAACTAATTGCACTGGTATGTAGAAAGATGTAACTATTTTGTTGCTATTCACAACTGATTTGTGACGTGTGGGCAACATAATACTATCACAGACCTTTTACAAATCCAGATGTAGCCTTTTCCATATAAATAAAATACATTTTCTACTTTCCTTGGCTATTTCTTTATCCTAATTCGTGCATATCCTTAAAGTACTTGTTCCCACATTGTAACAGAGAACTGCCAGTAGTGTGTGTGTGTCTTGTAGCCAGCATCCAATACAGCCATGCATCAGGTGCTACTTAGAACTGGGCTCCGAGTTCATTTTTATGCTAGCTCTAGCCTGGTGGATTTAGCAACCTATGCACATGGTTGGATAGAGGATTTCAAATAAGTTAATGCCACGCCACACCAATATTCATCTAGGGAGGAGACAATCACAAGAGTCTGTGGAGGTGGTGTATCTGGAATATCAGAATGTTACAGTAAACTCACACTTGAAAGGAACTTTGCCATTAACTTGCACTTCAGTTGCTTCAGTCTATGCACGTGGAAAACCAATAGTGCTGGAGAGGGGCAATCTGTTCTTTAAACACAGATCAAAAGTAGAAAAACTCTTTGATTTCCTACCATTCATTCTTCTTGGTTACTTGAAAATAAAAAAAGATGACAAAATGTTTTTCTCTGTATCTTCTACATGAAAGAAAAATGACTTTCAGTTGGGAAATTTGTCATCATAAAATACATTTTTAACATGGATGATACATTTGATTTGGGTTTGTTTGTTTGTTGTTTTTTATTTGAATATGTATCAAACTGGAATGTGAGGTATGGGTGGTAAGCGTGCACAGTAGGAGCTTTTACTCCTACCAGTGGGATATTAACTTCATGTTTTCTGATTTACTCACCTCAAATTGGTCACATATGGGAAAATGTCATTCCTGTGATGTTATGTTGACATTTGAAACATCAGCTTGATTAAGATTGGTTCTAATAATCTTAAAATATCCCTGTTCACTACATTTTGCAAGCTGAATAAATGGATTTTTTTTTATGTTGTTACTGAGTGCTTCATTATATTTGAACGAGGGCAGTGTAGCCGGGAAGGCAAAGACTTCATTTATACTCCTTGCTCAAATGATTGTAGAAAACTGACCATCAGAATGCCTTCACAGTTCTTATTTTTTCTAGGTAAAATAGCAATCTCTTTGCTATTCTCTAGAAGTTATTAAAATTTTTAGACTATCTGTATAGAACTGCGTGAAAGCAGAAGTTTGACTTGGTTTCTTTTGGTTTATCTGTGTTAGGGATGGTTTGAAAGCATTTACGCTTTACCTGGTAATGTTTCTGCTTTGTGCCGTGCACGACCGACTTCCCACCACAGTACGAAGCCAGCGGCAGGACTGAAAACCAACCGACAGCCGTGTGCAGGACGTACTGGGCATCTGCAAATAGCAAAAAAGGAACTCGTCTTATGCTCGTGCTGGTTACAGGTGTGAAGCTAAGTCTTTGATTCTTATGCTACTCCTAGCAGTTCAGCCTTTCTGCTTTTGAAATTATCGCCATGAAACTATAAGTACATTATTTAAGTCGGTGCCGCTGTCACCTCGCGGGGCCCCTGCCGCGCCGCCCCTCACGCCGCCGTCCCAGGGTGCCGCGCGCTGTGGCGCAGGCGCGGCGGGCCGGCATGGCGGCGGCTGCGGCCTTGCTGGCCCGGGCCGCGGGCCTGGGGCTGGGGCTGGGGCTGGTCACGGCCGCGGGCGGGCGGCGGCTCCTCCGCTGCGGGACGGGAGCGGGGCTGCGCCAGCGGGGCACGGGGAGCCTCCTGGACGGTGCCGTTGTGTGCAGGGCCGGCGGCGCGGCGGAGCGCTGCCTGTCTCGGGGGACCAGCTCGAATCAGCGGCCGAAGCGGCCCCTCACCGCCTATTTTCGTTTCGTGATGGACAACCGTCCGGCCTTTAGGGAAAAAAACCCAGGTACGAGGTTGGAGGGGAGGGGAGGCGGGCCCGCTCGCTGTTGGGCGCCGGGGCTCCGGTACGGCCGCCCCCCGAGTGGGGCCGGGGCCTGCGCCCCCCGGAGCGGGAGCGGCGGGGCTGCTCCTCAGCTGCTCCTTCCTGTTCAGTGGGAGAACTTGGGCTCCCTTCCTCAGGGGACAGCCTCCATGAACTGCTCACAGTGTGAGTCTTTCCCATGGGCTGCAGTTCTTCAGGAACTGTTCCAGCATGTGTCCTTCAGGACCAGGCTTCACACGGGGTCACAGCCCCCTTTGGGCATCCCCTGCTCCAGTGGGGGCTCCTCCATGGGCTGCAGGTGATCTCTGCTCCCCCCTGGGCTGCAGGGGCACAGCTGCCTCACCTTGGGCTGCGCCCCAGGCAGAAGGGGAGCCTCAGCTCTGGTGCCTGGAGCATCTCCTGCCTCTCCTTCCCTGACCTTAGGATCAGTACAAGTGTTCTTCTGACGTGGTCTGCCTCCTTTCTCTGGCTGAAGTTGTGCAGTTTTCTTTTTTGCCTTCCTAACTCTGTTAGCCCTGAGGTGCCACCACCGTCACTGATGGCCAGTAGCAGGTGCCACTGGGAGCTGGCTGGCCTTGGCTCCATCAGGCTTCTCACAGGAGCCATCCCTGTCCCCCCCTCACCAGCAGAATCTGGCCATGCAAACCCAGTACAGGAGGATACTTTGCTGCTTGTTCTTGCACTTGTATGTGACCTTGGCTTTAACAGTTTTCATCTGTTGCCAGAGAAATGACACAGCTCTCCCTCCGTGTGCCTGTGGGCGGCAAACCAATTCTTTCTCCTTTTTGAACAGCCATATTGCATTACATGTGCAATGCAAGTTTTGTAAAGTTGTTCTGCTCTCGTATGGTAGGTGAAATCTCAGTTATTTTTGATGAAAGGATCAACTTCTTTTGGTTCATGTAAATTTCTTTAAGCATCATCATACTACGTCGTAATATGATGTTTCATATTATGTTGGTGTTTCAACATAACATGAAACAGTGAAGTTTCTCTGAGTGGCAGTTTCAAGGGATAACATAAAGCAACTTTATGATTTGCTGATGGATTTAAATGCCATTTATAGCAGAGTAATGATTGTTCTCCTTGATTGCAGTTAGTAATTAGAGGCAGTTGGAATTAAATTCCATTTTCTAAGGAAATATTCAGTAGAATTGAGATGCTCTGACATCCCTTTTGGACTTCTCACTCTGTGTACTTTTCCCTTTGTGTAAGGAAGGGAACAGGGAATCAAATGGATGAAAATCTGATGTTCTGGTGTAAGCTTTTCATTCTGTAATTTTTCTGCTCATAGGTTAGAAGTGTTGGCTTGTCTAATGGCCAAGTGCTTCTGACTGAAAGCATCTAGCTTAACTTTAAGGCTGGTGGTGGTTTGTGCTGTAGGTGTATGAGGAAGCAATAAAGACAGACTGGAAGAAATACGGAGAGCAGATGGCTGCTTATAAAGCCCAGCTGACTCCAGCCCAGGCTGCTGCTCTGAAAGAGGAAAGGAGAAAACAACTGGCAAGGAGGAGATCAATCAGGGCAAAAAGAGTAAGTATTTTGAAGTTCAGGTTTCTTTTCTCTCAAGGAGCCTGAAGTCTCTTTGTCTAGTATACAAAGCAGAGTTGAAGCATGTTTTAGAAATACAAAAGCAACTCAGAATAGGAAAAAACCACCCAACATACACAAACCCCCCAAAATGCCATGGGCTAAAATAATTACTGGTGTTAGCAGCTAGTTTAGTTGCTTTCCTGTGCTTGAAGAGCACAGAACTAGCATGGATCTTTGTGCTTAGAGGTAGCTTCTCTATGCTTTTTTCCTCCCTATTTCTAGAGCTCCCAGAGAAAGGATAGGCAATAAAAGACATTTGGACCAGCAACACTTTCTTCCAATGGGAACACATCCAGAAATGGTTTTTCACAAAGACCTTGTATCTGTTACCTCATTAGGCCCTACAAGGTAGCAGCTGCTTGAAGTAGCCTTTTTTTCCTTGCTTTTTTGGGCTCTGCCACTGTGTAGCTGCTGCTGTGACATCTGTGTCCTTTACTAGCACTTTGATAGGCACCATCTTCCCTATTCCTTTTTGGCTGGTTTATGTATAAGTCCTTAGAGACAGAACCATCCGTAACAGTACGATATTATGGTTCTGGAAAGATCAAAGGGGTTATGTATTGCTTGTTTATTTCTGTGAATTAAACTGTGACATTGCCCTAGCTGGCAAAAGCAAAACAAGTTTGGTTTAAAAGACCCCTACTTAAAAGAAGTTTGTAATCTTAATGATTTTGCTGATCCTTTTAGAGTATGGCACCACAAGGAATTCACTTGGGATATCTAATACCTAATTAGATGTTAACTTACAGCACCTAGGCTCCACTGGGAATGTCAGGACTGGAGAAAACAGGAAGTGTAATTGCATCTATAAGTTGCAGTACTTTCATTCTCTAGCCATCATCCCTGTAGGCAAAGCATTCTGATAGCAGAAACACAATTCTCTTCCACCTTCTCACCTCCCACAGATAAGTGTGTGCCCTCTTCTCTGCACACAGGCAGTATTTCACACCAGAAACTGAACCCTTACTGAAGAATAATAGAAAATCTGTCATCATGACTTCCTTCCAGAGTTGAATTTAGTAGCACTCTCTGGTTTCTGGAAGATTTAGCTGAAGTAAGAATCAGTTCTAAATGCTTTTTCAACAACTTGTGAAAACTCAAGTTGTTAGCTTTTGGTAGTTTAACATTAGTCTTGAAAAGCACTAAGAGCATCTTGACATACAGTCCAGTTTACAGAGTCAAACACCAAAGAAAGAATTTGTGTTTGATTTTTGCATAAAATATAAAGAGAAATACTGAGTTTAGTTTTGGAACAAATGCATGCTTGGTAGAGGAATAACTTCTCTTTTGTTTTTAAAGGAATTGAATCTGCTTGGAAAACCTAAAAGAGCTCGTAGTGGCTTTAACATCTTCCTGTCAGAAAATTTTCAAGAAAGTGAGGGAAATTCACCTGTGGTAAGCCAGGGAATATTCTTTCTCTAAAATATGTCCATTGTATTCAGAAAAATATAGTTTAGATTCTGTCATTTTCAGAGCTACTGTTCAGTAGTTCACTGTCTGGATGCTGCATTGCTGAGGTTATTTTTTTTAAGCTGTGGCCACCTGGCTATACTGCTAGCATGACCTGTATGAAAAAGTGCTGTGTGGGTATACAGACTTAAAACATTTGTGCTGTTTTTTGCACTTCAGTGTTACAGACTTTATCTGTTCCTTTTGTAGGGAGAGAATTATTCTTCCCTTTGTTTTGATGTAGCAATACAGTTTTTCAAAGAGCTGTGGTGGTGTGCTCCTGTTCTGGCAGTAGCAGTTTATTTTATCTCCTGTAGTTCAGCTGGTGTTATGGAAATACAAGAGTTCCTCAGCAAACTCACAAATTCTGCACTGAACTGTGCTTTGGGGTGGATTACATGTTACATTTATGTTACACTGGTGGATTACAGCACTTGAGGTGCTGCAGACCCACCCTGTGTGCCTCATGTGTTCCTTACCCTACACATTCAGTCAGTAAGGATGGTGGACATAGTTTGTTCCTCAGTTTTCCCTGTACAAGGCAGGTTTCTCCAGTCAGCTGAGGCCTGCACTGTAAATGTGGCTCAGATGATGCCCAGAAGCTTGTTTTGAACAATATAGTTTATTACTTACTTACATGAAAAGGGTAAATAAGGGGAAGCAAGCTTTTGTGCTTTTTTGCATTGGTTTGTGTTTGACTTTCACTCATGCAGTATTCACCTGTATCCCTCTGAAGTCAGTCTGGTCCTGAAACAACTCTCATGTATTGCATCTTCTGTATCCCCTAGGCAAAGCTGAAGAAACTATTTGATACGTGGCAAAAAATGTCTGCTTCCCAAAAGCAGGTATGTCAGAGGATTTCAATGAGGCTCTGATCTCATCAGAATTAAAAACTTGAGTCAAAATTGTTATATTTGTACAAAGTCTTGAACTCAGTTGCTCGAATTGTAACACTGAGGGGAATACTCCAAGATCTTTATGCATCTTGAAAAAGATTGTCATTACCTTTATTCCAGTAGTGACCATTTAATTCATAGTGTTGTTGAAACATGAATCAGTGGGATAGGATGGAAGTTTGGTGTGCCTTAAAGTGGATGTTAAGCAACATCTAGAGAAGAAGGTGGAATAATATGCAACAACTTCATTTTTTTATAATCATCCATAATATCTTTTAACACCAGCGTAAGAATTTGCTGCTCATGGCAAGACTTCTTACAAGGGAATGTAACAGAAATCCACAAGTGATGTGCACAGGGTAATTTATTAACTTTGGTTCTCTGGGGGATAATTTTCTGCCAGCTTTCTGAGTGTATTGAACTATGAACTGATTTCAGTGCTGTACTGAAACCTAAAGTAAACCTTGACATGTTCAGGCTTTCTGTACCCTGCTGTCCTTCCTCCTGAATGCCCTTCTTCCAGGTGGTTTTTAATGAATACTGAGGACATACCCTAGGTTCATGTTCTTACTGTAGAAAAATAATTTGAAATAATTCCACAGCAATATCTATTCCTGTGCCTCACATAGTCTAGCTGTCTTAAACTAGTGCTCAGATAAAAAAAAGCCTTAACTGGTAGTAGCAGAACTGAATAAATTTCCCCTTTGGGAATGGCCAGCTGCTGACATAACTGCAATTTAGTGCTAAAGCTTTGTATTTTCCTGCAAGTTTGATTTTGTTGGGTTTTTTTTTTCAATTAGCTGGTCTATACACTGCACAGGTGTTGTTCTAAGTCACCTTTGTGTGTGGCAGTTCTCCAGAAAAAGCCCTTCTGTAACTTCTTGATACCCTATTTTCTTTCAGCCATACTTGCAGCTTGCTCAAGATGATAAGGTTCGGTATGAGAATGAAATGAAATCATGGGAAGCAAAAATGATTGAACGGGGACGTGAAGACCTGGTGCGTTCCAAAAAGCAAAGGTTAAGAAAGAAACCTGCTGAAACTGCAAAGCAAACTGAAACAGCCAAAGCCAAAGCTTCCTCAAGTGGAAAAAAGGCAAAATTAAAAAAATCGGAAGAATAAAAAATCCCCTTCGGTTGTCTTATTTCTGTCCTGAGAAGGTGGAATAATATGCAACAACTTCATTTTTTTATAATCATCCATAATATCTTTTAACACCAGCGTAAGAATTTGCTGCTCATGGCAAGACTTCTTACAAGGGAATGTAACAGAAATCCACAAGTGATGTGCACAGGGTAATTTATTAACTTTGGTTCTCTGGGGGATAATTTTCTGCCAGCTTTCTGAGTGTATTGAACTATGAACTGATTTCAGTGCTGTACTGAAACCTAAAGTAAACCTTGACATGTTCAGGCTTTCTGTACCCTGCTGTCCTTCCTCCTGAATGCCCTTCTTCCAGGTGGTTTTTAATGAATACTGAGGACATACCCTAGGTTCATGTTCTTACTGTAGAAAAATAATTTGAAATAATTCCACAGCAATATCTATTCCTGTGCCTCACGTAGTCTAGCTGTCTTAAACTAGTGCTCAGATAAAAAAGCCTTAACTGGTAGTAGTAGTACTGAATAAATTTCCTCTTCAGGAATGGCCAGTTGCTGACATAACTGCAATTTAGTGCTAAAGCTTTGTATTTTCCTGCAAGTTTGATTTTGTTGGGTTTTTTTTTTCAATTAGCTGGTCTATACACTGCACAGGTGTTGTTCTAAGTCACCTTTGTGTGTGGCAGTTCTCCAGAAAAAGCCCTTCTGTAACTTCTTGATACCCTATTTTCTTTCAGCCATACTTGCAGCTTGCTCAAGATGATAAGGTTCGGTATGAGAATGAAATGAAATCATGGGAAGCAAAAATGATTGAACGGGGACGTGAAGACCTGGTGCGTTCCAAAAAGCAAAGGTTAAGAAAGAAACCTGCTGAAACTGCAAAGCAAACTGAAACAGCCAAAGCCAAAGCTTCCTCAAGTGGAAAAAAGGCAAAATTAAAAAAATCGGAAGAATAAAAAATCCCCTTCGGTTGTCTTATTTCTGTCCTGCTGCATTAATGCTGCAGTCAGCATTAGCACTGAAATGTGGAAAACCCATGAAGGGCCCTTTGGAAAGGTGATCAGGTAAGAGAGGAGCTACTGTCTCTCAGAACTGACTGAAATAATCACTGCAGGTGTAGCCTGAACTGTAGAATAGCAATTAATCAAGCTGTGAAATGATACCCACTGACATCAGCAGTGCTCTCCAGTAACGGTTGATAATATCCAGCTTTTATAAGGTATTTTTTAATGAAACAATAAAAAATATTCTTTATCAAAGAAAGAATATTCTGCAATGTTACCATCTAAATTCTGTAAATAAGAGCTGAAATCTGAGTTAACACTGCTGTGTTTTATTCCCTCCTTGTTATTGCTAGTGAGATGTTCTACATTTCAACAGACACAAGAAACACAAAATGCTAGCTTTTATTTTATGCATCTGTCTTTTTGTACCTGTTAATCTGTGTATGCCACTTCTGTTGCGTTTAAAGACCATGTGAGTTTTGTATAAACGTACCTTTCTTGGACTTTGATTTTGTGGTTTTGTTTGGATACATACAAACATTTTTGTCTTGCTGTTGTCACATTTGGGGCAACCTAGAAGGAAAAGAATTATGTGAACTGCTTGGACTTTGAGTTTTGGTGTAATAAACACAGGTATTTTGAAGAGATGGTTGGTTTCTTTCCTGGAGCTTCTCCATCTTAGTTAAATCTCATAGATATTTTAAGTAATCTGGTTTTAGAATGCAGGCCAACTTTTTCAGTATTTGGTGGATCTCATCTGTTCTGAGTGACCCACAAAATAATCACGGAATTCTAGAAAGGCTTGGGTTGGAAGGGTCCCTCAAGATCACATGGTTCCAATTGCTCCCGTAGGAAGGGATGCCACTCACTAAATCAGATTGCTCAGGGCCCCATCCAACCTGGCCTTGGACACTGTCACCTCAAAAGGAGCATTTTCCTCAAACCCTTTGTGTTTGATCAGTCTGTCAGTGCCATGGGGTTGACTGCAGACATAAATTGGAAGCAATTATAGACAAGCTCTGAGTGCCAGTGCAAACCAGCTTGAGATAATCACTCAGTGCACATAGAATCACAGAATATCCTGAGTTGAAGGACCCATCAGGATCGTGAAGTCCAACTCCTGGCCTTGTAGAGGACACCCCAGGAATCCCCCCTGTGCCTGAGCGTTGTCCAAACACTTCTTGAATACAGGCAGGCTTGGTACTGCGCCCACTGCCCTGGGGAGCCTGTTCAGTGCCTGACCAGCCTTTGGGGTAAGAACCTTCTCCTGATACCTGACCTAATCCTGACAGCTCCAGCCAGTCCCTCGGACCTTGTTACTGGTGATGAGAGTGAAGAGATCAGTACCTGCCCCCGCAATGCCCCTCAAGAGGATATTGAAGGCCTCAGTGAGGTCTCCCCTTCCATCTCCCATTTTCCAGGCTGAACAAACCAAGTGACTGAGATGTGCTGATGCTCAGGCCTCAGGCAGAGTTGACTTAACAGATGAAACCTGGGCATTATGTGACCGACACCATCAGTATTATTTAGCTAAAAATAGATGACTAAGACACTTCTACCAGCTGTTTCACACCGTACTGGCTGCTTTAGAAACTTTCACATAACCTTGTGTAGTTATCTGCAAGAAATGTATCATTCTAAGAAATTTGCACAACTGACACGAATAGGCTTGCTTGTAGGATATGTTAGGGGAAACCCTCCCAGCTAAGGCCTGGGCTCTGGCCCCTGCTGGATGAGAAGTGCGCCATGAGACCCAGATGCTTCTGCTGAGCTTTTTGTCCTGGTACCTTTAGTATGTGAGCAGTCCCTGGTGCCATTCTGTTTGGATCCTGACTCTGGGAGACTGAAGGCATAGAATGGTACCTGGAGCTGAGAACGTAGGAAGGGATGCCACTCACTAAATCAGATTGCTCAGGGCCCCATCCAACCTGGCCTTGGACACTGTCACCTCAAAAGGAGCATTTTCCTCAAACCCTTTGTGTTTGATCAGTCTGTCAGTGCCATGGGGTTGACTGCAGACATAAATTGGAAGCAATTATAGACAAGCTCTGAGTGCCAGTGCAAACCAGCTTGAGATAATCACTCAGTGCACATAGAATCACAGAATATCCTGAGTTGAAGGACCCATCAGGATCGTGAAGTCCAACTCCTGGCCTTGTAGAGGACACCCCAGGAATCCCCCCTGTGCCTGAGCGTTGTCCAAACACTTCTTGAATACAGGCAGGCTTGGTACTGCGCCCACTGCCCTGGGGAGCCTGTTCAGTGCCTGACCAGCCTTTGGGGTAAGAACCTTCTCCTGATACCTGACCTAATCCTCCCTGACAGCTCCAGCCAGTCCCTCGGGCCTTGTTACTGGTCATGAGAGTGAAGAGATCAGTACCTGCCCCCGCAATGCCCCTCAAGAGGATATTGAAGGCCTCAGTGAGGTCTCCCCTTCCATCTCCCATTTTCCAGGCTGAACAAACCAAGTGACTGAGATGTGCTGATGCTCAGGCCTCAGGCAGAGTTGACTTAACAGATGAAACCTGGGCATTATGTGACCGACACCATCAGTATTATTTAGCTAAAAATAGATGACTAAGACACTTCTACCAGCTGTTTCACACCGTACTGGCTGCTTTAGAAACTTTCACATAACCTTGTGTAGTTATCTGCAAGAAATGTATCATTCTAAGAAATTTGCACAATTGACACGAATAGGCTTGCTTGTAGGATATGTTAGGGGAAACCCTCCCAGCTAAGGCCTGGGCTCTGGCCCCTGCTGGATGAGAAGTGCGCCATGAGACCCAGATGCTTCTGCTGAGCTTTTTGTCCTGGTACCTTTAGTATGTGAGCAGTCCCTGGTGCCATTCTGTTTGGATCCTGACTCTGGGAGACTGAAGGCATAGAATGGTACCTGGAGCTGAGAAGGAAAGTGCTGATAGCAGGGTGTGACCTGGTAAATCGATGGGCGCACTTGAAGTTGTAGGCAGCAAGAGCCTTCTCAGCTAGCAGCTTTCTCAGCGAGCTCTGTTTTTGCCAGATGTTTTCGAGGTTGTGGCCAGACTCTGTGAGAGCAAAAAGCTTGGTTAGGGCAAAGCAGTTTGTGCTGCTCTTTGAGTGTGGTGTGAAGAAGGGTGTGCTCTTGGAAGGGGCGGATTGGGGAAATCTTTTTGTCCTGGCACAGCTGATTGGAGAGCAGGGACGTTTCCAACTTGGCTCTGCCCCGGGGGTGGTGTGGCGCTGGGCTCGGTGCCTGTCCTTCTGCGAGTCGACGGCGCCGTGGTGTGGTGATTTTGTGAGCGCTGACAGTGCCCAGGGCAAAGCCAAGCGCTTTTCTGCCCAGCCCCGTTCCTGTGGGAGCAGCACAGGGAAGAGCACTGCTGCGGACCTGGGCTCTTGGAGACAGACTGTGATCTGCGGGAAAGGAAGAGGAATTGTTTCGTTGTTGGCTTTGCATTTTACAGGCTGCAAAAGAAAAGGCAATTCCAGCATGGTCTCTTCCTTTTAGAACCCTTTGTGTGCTCAACATGTAACACAAACCCACTGAACTCCATCAAACTCCCTGGAGATACGTGCTGTCCCTCTTGCACTCCAACTCTTGCAGCAGCTAACGTCCAGCAACTACTCCCAAAGAAAAAGTTCCAGAGCAAAAATCCATTTCTGGCCTTCATAGCCCCTTTGCAGTCTGTAAACCAGACAAATCACACTAGTGTGCCACACGTTCCTGCTCAACAATATATAGAGCACCTTCACATGCTCAAGGTGGCAGAGTCCCTTGTTAGAGTGCAGCAATTCCATCTCTGTTCAGACAGAGTGGCATGCCAGGAAAGAATATATTTGCTGACCTTCCCTCTATGCTGTAAAACCTGATTTCCAGTGCAATCACTTTCACTCAGCTTCAACATAGTCCACAGCCCAAGCAGCTATATCTCACAAAGAAAGTGTCAGGACAGAAGACGTTCCTAAGGCAGCCATTTCTTCCAGCACCATTTAGATTGCACACAGCATATTTGGAATACTCACTTTCCTTCTAGCATATACAAAGTGGCTCATTTTTAACTCTCGTGGCTGGGCTGCAAACGTGGAGCAGCTGCCCCGTCAAACAGGCTGTACAAGTAAAAGCCAGTGTTGGGCTGCACCTCCCTCTTGCCTCACGTAAATCACACAGGCTCCCTGCTGCCCTTCTCCACTGCACCTACCATCGTGTTCTCTGCATCTCGAATCCTAGGGGTGAGTGCAATTGTTTCCACAGAGGGCTGGAAGGGGAATAGGTAGCAGCACAAGCAGCTCTCCTTGAACTCGCTCCTTCTGACTGCTGCCGAGAGTTGGGCAAGCAAGCGTGTGGCAGCCACGCTCCCCTTGCAGCCTGGAACTCTGTGCTCACAAGCATGGTGCTTGTGTGGCTTCATTCACTGCCTCTTTTATCACACTTCCATTCCCCACAGGTGAATATTTGTCAACTATTTCCCCCTGTTGCAGTTTTTATATAAGCCATAAAATAAGGAATGGAATATTTTGAACTGAACATTTATTTTCTCTGGCACTCTTAACAGAGATATACATCCCACAACTGAACTTAACTTCCATTACTTGAAAGGATCCCAGTATTTTTAGTATTTGGGAAAGTAATTCTACTTCTTCAGAAACAGAACACCATAGAGGAAAATATATAATGCAGAAGTTCTTTATGATGCCCTCAGGCTTTGTATTCTCTGACTACAGGAAGAGAGGTGGGTTTTTAGTGTAGTCTTTAACAGAACTTCTTTCAAGAGCAAAGCTATCTAAAAACATTAAATCAGAAGAGCTTTGTTCAATCTGTGCTGTATGCCAGACATTCCTGGTATTAATGTGCAGGCAACCTACAACACTAATTCTTTTATTTCTTCTGCAGCTTAACTAGTCATCAGAAACCTATGAGGTGTGTAACTTTTTATTTTAAAAGAACATTCTTTAAGAACACAGGCCAGACAAAGCTAGTACTTAATTCCTTACATACTGAAGGAGTTTATAATCATTATTATGGTAGTGCCAGCGTAGGAATTCAAACCAGGAGCACCCAGCACTAGGAACAGGCACAAGAAACATCAAAAGCAAGCAGATACATAGCAGAACATGCTAAAAAGGTAATTCCAAGTGCTCCCACTCATTTCCCTTTGCATGCATCTCATGGAAAGAAACTCTAAAATCCCTCTAGGATGACTTCCAGAAGTTCTGGAGTGCTGAAGCCCTGCCTTGGCAAGAGGCAGTGCTACTGGCAGATGCTCCAGCTCACAGCTTCTGGCAGGCCTTCCATTCCTTCCCCAAGCAGATTTGTAATCAAGTTTTCTTGGACAGCTGGCACACAGCTGGCCACCACAACTGTAACAGCATTCAGAAACACAGGCTTGTCTTTTGGGTAACCCTGACTTTCTGCTTCATTTAACACCCCTTCTTCCTGCACACAATATAATTTTAATCTTGCTTGGTTCACAAACCCATAAAGAAAAATGTCATCCTCATTTTTGCCACTCACTCAAACAATGACAGGGAAAAGTAACTTAATTACTGCATCTTTTTTCTTATCCTTATAATGCATGTGAACCACTTAGAAAGAAAGGAGGAGGAAGAAGACTCCTGGCATTTCCTTGAGACAGTGTTCTCATTTAACAAGACCCTTTGTTTGCAAACACAGCTTTTACACAGGAAAACAAAACACCAGGACAGGAGTAACCCACTGCTGGAGATGCTTGGGTAAAGTGGTCTCCCCTACCCCCTAAAAAAGCAAAGTATTTTTTATTCAGAACAATATGGTTAGGTAATGTGTGGAATACTATCTCCAGTAGAGACAGACATGGCAAAACCAGGTTTTTTTCACCTGCCACTAATACTGCATGGCCTCTGTGCTGCTCAGCACACTGACACTAAGCACTTTCAGTGCTGCTCCACTCCCAGTGAAATGCTCACACAGGTCATTGACAGAGCAAGGGACCCACGAGCAGCATTTGAGTAGGGTGGCCCAGGGGCAGGCAAGAAAGTATTCTACATGGAAAATACCTTAAGAAAAACCTTTCAACAATCTCACCTGAGATATACACTGGTTTCCTGCCCAGTTTATCTGACAAAGGGTCAAATGTGATATTTCCAATGAGCATCCCAGCAAAAAACAGGTATGATGCAAGGCTTAATTTGTAGGCTTCTTGTTCAATTAGGTACCACTTTAAAAAAAATCCTTATTAAAAGTATGCCCTTCCCCCAGTAATAAAAGATATCAAAATTATTATTTTATTTCCCACTTATTCTTTTATATTCCATTAAAGTTTTATTCAAAGTTTGATAGATAAGCCAACAGTAGTCATATTCTTTCCTCCATAACTGATTCTAACATGTCTCCTCCATTGTAATAAATTAAAATTGTTCCATGTGGTAAGCAACATCACCTGCACCCCAATTCCCAAGCTTTGGCAAGAAGCTTATCTTGGGCTATTAAAACAAGGACCAGTGGAAAGCATAGCTAATTCACCACTAAACCAGCACGGTTATTTCAATGAGCAGATATTAAAGTTTCTCCATTAAGAAGTACAATGCACATTCACTACTGCAGTACTTAGAGAGTTAACACTGTGCTTTCTGAACAATAAGTGATCCCTGGTGCCTTCCCTCACCACACATATGTTGAACTCTTGAAGAGAACCAGAAAGGATTACAGCAAAATGTCTTGGTTCATAAAAATGCTCAGAACTAGTTATGGGTTACTCATTGATATTTCAGTATCTTATTGTGCACATGCATTTACAATTTTAAAAGAAGTTACAAATAAATTATAGGTTTCTTTATAAAATATATTTTCTACCTCACACAAAATCTAAACTGAGGCAGCACAATCACAAATCATCAAAGATAAGACAATTACCTGAGAGTGGATTGAAAATACTATTTCCCAATGGGGCAAGGCACACAGACAGCTTGTACAGTGATTAGTTCCTGAAGCAGAACATAAGAGCCACTGTGGAGTTTTTCTGAGAACACTGTCCCTGCAAAACCAGAACAGAACTGACAATTTTTAAGTTCCATTAAGCTTAATCTCCATCAATAAAATAAAGGAAATAAACTTTACAGAAGCAGCTCTTGCAGGGCAGAACAAGAGAAAAGATTGCTTTTACAAACTGGTACTTTTGCTGCTTAGGGGCTGCATGTTTGTATTTTAATAAGTTTGATACAGTGATCTGTGAAGAAAGTAACTTTTAAAAGAATGCAGCGATCTACTTCATTTGCACAAAGGGAGCTTGTTCAATATTCTTCAAAATTAACTGTAGCTTGCCAACAAAAATTTTGCCAGGGAGAGAAGGGGCTGCCAGGAGAGGAGGTTGGTCCAAGCAGGACACACAGGGATACAGCCACATCTCTCCAGCAAATTGGCACTCAAAGGGGAGCTGCAAGAGACACCCCAGAGGAGAGCAGAACAGCTTGGCAGTTGTTCCATTGTGGTTTGAACAAGGGAGCAGCTTTCCTTCTTTCATGACCTTGATTTTAAGAGAAGCATTGTTTTTCATCCAGATTCAATCTAGACTAGATAATTGCAGGCCTCTACCAAAGGTTTCTTTTGCTCAGTAGCCTTCTCCAAAGGCCAGGAGATTGTCCTGCCAATTCGCTGATCAATTTGAACTACTATAACTGCTCTCTTCACCCAGGGGCTTGCAGAGTAACAAGTAAAAGCTCCACATCCTATGAACAGCATGAGAAACTGAAACCTTCAAGTTAGCAAGAATAGAGACATTACCATCATTAATGAAACCTGGCAAAAAGGGGTTTGACAAAAGCACAGCAAGCGGCCATTGGCACAGTTCCTTCAAGACATGGTTATGTTTTGAAGGCACGACACACACGGTTATGGCTCCATTTTTCCAGCATTACATTTGTTTATGATCACACTAACTTTATACAGGGTTTTAGGTTTGCTTTGGGGCTTTTTTTTTTTTTTTAAGTCTTTCTCCTGAGCCATATAAAGAAATTCTATTGTTTAAGGCAGTAGGGTAGGATGACTTTCCCTCAGTATTTTTAGTTAATTTTTACTAGAATTAGCAGAAAGATTGGCTGGGGTGGTGCAGCTCCCTGAGGAAGCAGTGAGCAACATAGTGAGTGTGGTACACAGGAAAAGCTAAGTGAGGGTCAAAGTGCTGCCTACCTTGGAACTGTTACAGCCTGGAAAAAATGAACTTTCTAAATAGTTTCTTAGCTTCCCCATCCACGTAGTCACCGTACATTAGCAGACAGCAGTGAAATTCTACCTTTTGAATTCCTTGTAGTCTCTGCTCAAGCTGCTTCCATAATTCCCATCCTAATGCAAACAGCAATCTGTTGCTGAACTTTGGCAAAGGCAGGCAGACATGAGACAGGCTCCCACTCTGTTCCTGAATACATCTACGGGAAGGAGGAAAATAATTTTGGAAGTCTCCTGATTTTACAATATGTATTAGATTTCTCCTCATATTCCACCATTTGTTATCCCATACTACTGGGGAAAATGCACAATGCTTAAGAACTTAAAAAAGATCCCAAAACCAAAAAACCAACCAACAACAACAACACACCC